ACAACAACAACAACAAAAGCCATACTATTTAAAGCTGTATGTTGTTGTTATGAATTGCCATCCAGTCGGTTCTGACTCATAGTGACCCTGTGTAGGGTTTCCAAGGAGCAGCTGATAAGCTTGAACCACTTCACCCTGTAGCTTAAACCAACCTTGCAGTCCAGTGCATTGACCCGCAGAAAACACCAGGACTCCAGAATTTCATAGTATCCTTTAATTTTACAAGTTGAGGCTTGAGTTTTTTGTTTGTTTTTTTTTTTAAGAGATGTATTGTTGTTGTTGTTAAGTACTGTGGAGTCGGTTCCGACTCATAGTAACCCTGCCCAGGGTTTCCAAGGCTGCAAATCTTTACGGGAGCAGAAAGCCTCATCCTTCTCCTGTGGAAGAGCTGACAGTTTCGAACTGCCGACCTTGCAGTTAGCAGCCCGATTCATAACCACTACGCTATCTGATGTGTACAGAGGTATTAAAGCTACTAAGAAAAACAACCAAGGAAACGACTGTTATAAAAGACTGCAGGAGCGTTATGTCTACTGGGAGAGAGCGGTGGTTGCATACCTTTTGCCTTCAGAATATTTATTAAACTGTAGATATATATTTTATGCATTTCCTGCATGTTCATTATCATTCAGAAAACCTTTGTAATTAAGGAATGGAACTGAGTGTATTTGAATGAGGAAGTTCCAGGCAAGAGTTAAGTGAATAAGGAGTGGCGCTGTAGGATCAAAACTTGACTGGGAACCTCAAAGTTGGCAGTTCAAACCCACCAGCTGCTCCTTGGAAGCCCTATACAGAGTCACTATGAGGTGAAATGGATTCAAAGGCACTAACAACAATGACATATATAAGTAGTAAAAGAGAAGTTAAGTGCCTATGCCTGCCCAGGGGAGTAAGTAACAGAGTGTTTTCCCAAAACAATAATACCAGCATTTTCAGCATCCCCTTGTCCTTTCCCAACCACAATACCGTTCCTCCTCCCATAGAAGTTACTCGATTCTTTCTTTTACAGTAGTCGTTTTCTTAAGATTTCTTCATAGTTTTCCTACCTCTGTGTCCCATCTAAATACTATGGTTTTATATTGCTAATTGTTGAAATTTTATTTAAATGAAATTGTACTACATATATTATTCTGTTTCTTTCTCCTTGAATGATGGTGTCAGAAGTAACTAAAATAATACTCTTCTGTATTTTTAGTACACACTTGATAGGACTAATATAAGGGTTGCTCCCCAAACTTACTACATGAAGCAAGTGAACCCAAGCGGAGGAAGTGAAGTGGATGAGGTAGCTCTTTTCCTGGCCTTAAGCACTCATTCCCCCTCTCTGGGTATATTGTTGGCTGACAGCTCTCAACTGTGTCCCTCTCTGAGAACTGCTCTCTACTGAGGAGCAATGCCTCATCCAAGGCCACACCTCTTCCCAAGGGCAGCCAGCATCCAGTGAACAGCCACTGTGGAGATGAAAAGCTTGACCCCACTGTCTTAGTTCAGGACGACTCGGCAGGGTCTTCCAGGTTTCAGACAGAGATTGGTCATGTAGCCATTGTTAGGACTCCCTGCTGTTTCATTCCTCACCAGCCCAGTCTCTCCACTTCCTCACTGAAGTTCACCTGGAGAGCACTCTCCCTGAATAGATTCCCTGCGCTCTGCAAGCCCCCATTCACAGAGGCTCCAGCTCAGGAAGCGGAACCAGTAACATCCACTCATTTCACCTGGATTAAAAGCAGCATAAAAAATTCAGAAATCAATCATTGCTGAGAAGAAATATGAAAATACTTACACTGGTGTTGCTTTGTTGTTGTTGTTAAGTGCCGTCAAGTCGGTCCCGACCCATAGCGACCCTGTACAGGGTTTCCGAGGGTGTAAATCTTTACGGGAGTAGAAAGCCTTATCTTTCTCCCGCGGAGCAGCTGGTAGTTTCGAACCGCTGACCTTCAGGTTCACAGCCCGATTCATAACCACTACGCTACCTGAGCAACTGGTGTTGCTTTAACACTGCTCAAATAATATTTTCATTGAAAAGGGACAAAACATGTGGACAATAATGGCTGTTTGATTGAACTGAGTTGGATACTAATCTCATGGGATACAACACTAGACAGACAGCAAGGTCAGTTTGAACCACAAGGTCAGTGGTTCAACCTCAGCAGCCACTTCTCGGAAACCCTATACAGGGTCACTCTGAGTCAGAACCGACTCGACAGCACTTAACAACAACAACAACATACATAGATAAAGACATATCTACATTTAAAATATGCTTTGTTACATATCCTAAAATATCATTTGAAAATATCATTTACATATCCTAAAATATCATTTGAAAGCTCTCATATAAATATTAATACATAAACCATATCCATCTCCTAAATTATACCCTTCGAAAAACTCAGTCATTGACAAAATTAAAATCTGTATATAAAACATCAATAATCTTGATAATCACTTAATGCAAAATGCTTTCCTTATATTAGTATTCATTTGGGTTTCTTTTTCATTGCTAATGAGAACATTAACCATTGACATACCTTCACAGTGTGTTTAAGTGTTAAGAGTACATCCAACCTCTCATCCTGAGAGATGTTTCTCAGCATAATGCAATCATAGATGCTTTGCAGCTCTCTGGCTCTGATGGTGAACTGGGTATCCATCTCAATTATTTTTCCAGAATGTGTTCGCCATATCTTTGGAGCTGAGCACTTAAAAACAATATTAGGTTTACAGTCACCACTTCATTAAAGGTTTTGTCTTCTAGTAAAAGTTTGCTGAAATATCATGCGAATAACTAAAACTATGTGCCTTTATGAATAAAAGTCACAGAAATTTAATAAACTGGAAACTCTTCAGACATTCAAAAGTAAAACCTTTAAGAAAAATAATTATATGTATATATATATGTATATGTACATATATATGAGTGAGACAGCTGTCGAATCCGATGACAGTATAAAAACCAATTCAGGATTTTCTCCTAATTTGTATGAATTGGTATGTTGAATGGCTTGATGGGTCTATAGAATAATTCATTATCGCATGGAAGAATCATGCTATTTAGAATGTTCTTCATAAGTACCTGCCTGGTTCAATTACATTCAGAGAGTATGAGTGTACCTTGATCATGCCTTGCCAATTAAAGACAGCTTGTAGGGCAATTGTGACCATCCTCAATATGTTAGAACTAAAGATACAACAAAAAGGGACTCAGTGAGTTGTGGTTTGATTTCCAGTAAAAGAAATCTGTATCAAGTGTATCAAGTTCACAATTCTTCACAAAGCAGATGTTTGTGGTAGGCAAACAGCTACATGTAACTACCTTAGCAGTCCCTGATGATGGCTAAGACTCACTTTCTCTTTCTAAATCTGGGGTGGTGGCTCCCAATTCAGCCCACCTCCCGAACTATGGGTCACAAGACTTGCCCCGAAGCTCAGCTGGAGACTCCGAGGCTAAGAATTCTGAAGCAGAAAAAGAATGTAGACTCAGACACACCAGTTCAATCATGAATGATGGTAAATCTATTTGCCGCTGCTACTTTTACATCATGCCAAGATTTTAAGAGAAGACGCATCACTTTTGGCCCCTCCCTGTGCAGAGTAAAGAAGAGAGATGAAAATCGAAGATTCTTGGCAATAATAAGTTAAACGGATTCATGGAACACATGAACATCAGTCTCCACAACACTGAGACCAGGAGAACTAGATGGTGCCTAGCTACTACTAACAAAAAGCCATTAAGAAGACAAGAAAGAAGGAAAAGCTCAAAATGGATGTCAGAGGAGACTCTGAAACTTGCTCTCCAGCGTAAAGAAGCTAAAGCAAATGGAAATATTGAAGAGGTCCAAGAGCTGAACAGAAAATTTCAAAGATCAGCTCGAGAAGATAAAGCCAAATACTATAATAAAATATGCAAAGATTTAGAGTT